CCGAACACAAATGCGCAGGAAGAACATCTGTTGCTGCAGCAAATGACACATTTATGGAAACTAAATAACTTAAACAATAGAAAAACTTAGTTATCTGATGCCCATGGTCTTTATGTCCGCACAGGATTGAATACATCACATCTACTTGTATCATCTATCCTTTTAAACCTCGTGACCTGCCATACCTTGTGACCTGCCAGGGCTGAACAAAACACGCGCAGTCCGCGCCCCGAACAAATCCCTCTGCCCCGAACCAATTCGGCTGGGCCGCCAATGATTGGGATTACCCCACAAATGGTACACAGCAGTCTCAAACGCATTGTGCCATAGCGGTCGTTGATGAAATCCAGCGGGCTGGTATAGCCTCTTAGAATAGCAACTCGTCGAAGTCGAGGATTGAACACCAGCATGCCTCGACAGGTCGACAGGACGGTGTTCTGCTCCACGGTGGCATGGTGCTAGGGTGGTCGCTAACCCCTGGTGGTGGCTATCTCTCTTGGAGTAGGGTGGGCGACTATACATCAAGCATCAAATTCTTCCCCCAGAACACAAGGACTGCATGTGAAATGATGTGACACACAATCGGTTCGGTTCAAACACGTCTCAGCAGGGATTCCACACCACCCCGGTGCCAAAAGGGGTACTACGATGTACCACGAACAAGCTGTTCATACGAGTATTTAGGTGGATTCTGCCATGATCTGCCGTGGGTTGGAACCGGGAGGGGTGTGAGTAGAAAGTAAATATAGATGCATTGGTTCGGCTGCGTGCATGCGAGTTCATCAGTCATGTTCAGTAATTATCACTGTTTGTCATGGTTTGTCCCGCAAGTGCTACAGGCAGCGCCACTTAATTCTAAAAATGGCATACACACCTCTTTTCCCTACCTGCCAGACCCCTCCCCATCCCTCGCCTGCGACAATCATCAAGGTGGCACCGATCCAGCGCAGGGCCACAAAGCCCCGGGCGAAGGCCTCCTCCGGAATGCCAATCACCGTGTAGCCTCCCGGGGTTTCGGAGGGTCGAAGGGTCGACTTTTTGCGGCTGGTGTGACCTCGTGGTGATTGGTCACAGGTTTAAACAGTCACGTTCGCTGGGTGAAGAAAAGGGGGCTTTATTAGGTCACTAAGGTGTTCTTATTTTTTTGAGCCAAGAGTCTCTCTGAAGAGGTTTTGGTAAAACAGCAAACAGATGAGAAACCCTTGATTCGTCGACTGAATGGGAACCGGAATTCGCAGTGCCTGGTGAGCATAGCATGCCCAAGGCTAGATGCACTAGGCGAAACCAGGTCGAGTAACAGATTCACAAGCAAGAACTACCACCCATGTCCCAGCACTACAGGGAGATCTATTAACGTTCTATCAACCACCCTAACTTTGGGTGGTGCTGAGCTAATATAGTTGGCAATTGCCAGAACCTACAAACCGACCGATGGCGAACTAGCAAACAACTCAACCCCTTGGTGTTGGGCTTCAATTGTTTTAGGTTTTGGGGTGTCCCTGCACCAACTCTGGGCTATACGGTTTGGTTCACAGGCTTTGTCGGAGCCTTGGAACCTTCAGTATACAAAACCGGCTTGGAAACACGTTGCGTCTCCCCGCAACGTGTGTAAAATACAGTAGTTGTTTTCTTCGCAGCTGAGTCATCCAATTCCGCCCAATCCGACACCGGCCGTCATGCCGTTGTCTGCGTCCAAAACTACTTTGGGACAGAAAGTCTCGCCAGGAATATAGCTTCCCCTCAAAGCCTCTTGGGGCAGTCTGCAAGCTCTGGGCCTACAATGATATTATATATCCGCCGACCCCGCCGGTTGAAGGGGGCGCGCGCCAGAGAAGGCAACCGAGGGCATGCTGGAAGCGTTGCGGAAGGTCTGACAGCTTGAAGCGTTGCTGAAGGTCCGACAGCGGAAGACAGGGCGTGCGCGACGCTGCTTCACAGACTTGCTTGACGGGGT